TTTCCCCTTTCTCACTTCACAGCTGGTAAAGGATTCTGGTCAGAGATGCTGGGAGTCGGAGACTTTTACTATGAACTGGGCGTGCAGATCGTTGAAGTTTGCCTGGCTCTGAAACACAGGAATGGAGGTGAGGATCCCACCGTGTCTGGGTTCTAGGAGATACAGCAAATAGGGGGATACCTTTTCCCGGTGGAAAGAGTTGCATGGCTCAGTGTAGCGTTCCTTACTAGATTTCACAAATTACCGAGATGGCAGTTTTGTCTTCATTGTCCCCAAAAAGCCTTGTTTTGTTTCTACAACATGTTACAGCTACGCCACTGGTTATCACCCACCTTCATTGATTTCTACAGCAATCAACCAACTCTGCCCTGTTTAGTTAACACAACTGTAACTCATGGGGAAGGAGCAGGGATCAAGGACAATCTTGAAGGAGTACGAAACTGATAAGTTACTGCTTTGAGCCTGGCAGTGAGATTGTCTCTGAAGGATCACAGCAATATCCAGAAGAGTTGGAACACCAGTGATAAGGGCCTAATGAAAAGATAGTAGATGTTCTTCGCTCCAAAAGGGCAATCTGAGACCAGGAATGGGCTACAGCAAAGTCAGTTGAAACTTGAGTCCGATACATTTGTGGGAGAAGGCAACAGCTGACTGCTGCATGTTAGTTCTGGGAAGAGAAGGGATTCGATGCTTATCTCACCCAAGGCTTAATACTGGGAACAACGAACAGCCGCTTGTAAAAGGGGAGGCAGGGGTGAGCCAGTGGCAAATGCACAAAAGACCCCTGACTGCTCTTGCTGGAGGGATTTTCTTGCTGTGCAGTAATGCTTTCCTGTCTCCTTTTGTTGACTCCTAGGTCTGATAACACTGGAAGAACTTCATCAGCAAGTGCTGAAGGGAAGGGGGAAGTTTGCTCAGGATGTCAGCCAGTGAGTGTCTGTATGCTACAGGAAAGGGGAATCGGGTGGCACTCGGGGAAGAAAAGGGGGTGACTGATCTCAGCAGCACTTGAAGGTACTGCTGTTCGTTGGACTCCAAATTTGACCTCTAGTAATGGAACCACTTACATGTGATCCACAATTAATGACATAACGATTTCAGAAAGCAGCAGTGTGCTTTCTCTGGGAGCCCGAAGGCATAAAGGACCGTTGCCTTGAGCTGGAGACAATTAGTCCCCTGCAATTCCAGCTCTCTTACTGCCACAGCCTGCTGAAGCTGCTGTGGTCTCCTGGGCTGTAAGGAAGGGACTGATACGTGTCACTGCAGAAGCAGATTTTAGGACACAGCCACCATGATTGCTAATCAGGGCTGAATCTTAAAAGTTTAGCACTTGCAGCTCCGCTGCTACAAGTGTGTCTCTAATGCGAGTCTGCGCTTCCGAAGGGGGACACAGATATGCACACCAATTCTAAATTGCTTTATAAAATTTTTTTCAGCTGTTGATTACCTGAAACTGCAGCAAGCTCCAAGGAGCTATTATTGCTTATAGCTTCTGCACGTCAAGTCTTCCTCATTTACAGACTGTAGTGTGCAGTCTGAGAGAGGCTCTCGCTTTAAAGCCTTGCCTTGACCTCTGCTTCTCAGGGATGATCTCCTTCGTGCAATCAAGAAACTGAAGGTCTTGGGGAGCGGCTTTGGGATTATCCCTGTTGGTGGAACGTATCTGATCCAGTCTGTACCAGCTGAACTGAACATGGATCACACTGTCGTCTTGCAGCTGGCAGAGGTATTGAGCCAGGAGATTTTAAAATACAACCACCCTGAAAGAACCTTATTGCTTCCATGACAAGGAACTGTGATTAGAGCAGGCCTGTAGGCAAAACTGTCCACACTCTTCTAAACTATGGACTCAGGTTGATGATAAGCACACAGTATTTTTCCTCTCATTTCAGAAAAAGGGCTATGTAACAGTCAGTGAGATCAGGTCCAGTCTGAAGTGGGAGACGGAACGTGCAAAGCAAGTGCTGGTACGTATGAAGGTCTCTTGCGCACAGTGGAGTTCCGTGTCAGCGTAGAGTGACCGCTCCTGCGGCCCTGCGGCAGGCGCTTTGCCGGGGATGCGTTATCACGGCATGCGCAGGGGATCCTAAGCCAGCTGGTAGACCAAAGGCAGAGTACGCGCTGTGTAAACATAGATTGAGGAAAGCGGAGTCTCAGAAGCTGCAGATATTCCTGTGGCTTCGCTAATCTCCAGTAAAACTTGAATCTTGTTAGCTCAGGTCCTACATAAACACGCATGGCGGGCACGGCTGGATGTCTGAACTTATTTCTCCCTGTCAAGTTGAGTGAAAATTATTGTAGCCCAAGTTCTACACCCTCCCTTACCCTAGAATAAATGCGGGGTCAGGCCTCTGTTGTGAATGGCTTCTCCGCCATTTAGTTAAGTTGCACTCACGGTTTCTGCTCTGTTTGTATAGGAACATTTGCTGAAGGAAGGAATGGCCTGGCTGGACACGCAGGCAGCCGGAGAACCTCAGTACTGGCTGCCTGCTCTCTTTACAGAGCTGTACTCTCAGGAAATCACTCCAGAGGAAGCCAAGGAGGCAATACCTTGACTGCTACGTGTTCTGTGCCTGTATATAATTCTTCTTGTGAGGTTATTTGCATATCACCTGAAACACAGGGACAGTGGACTTGAAATAAAAGTTTTGTAAAAAGCATCTAGCTTGAGAAGTTTAATAGGACTAATTCATACTTGCTTACCTCTGAATTTTCTCCTCTGCTGTGGGTGGAAGTGCCACTTACCATTACAGAAAACTAATTACCTTGTCACAGCAAGAGGAAAATTATCTAAGCTGCTATTGCAGCTGCAGTCTCGGAGGATGCAAACGTGACTTTGGCTAAAGAATCTTGGAGCCAGCAGTGACACTGAGAAACTGTTCTGTAGTCCTGTCTGCTCTGTGAATGAGTCGTTGTTCCACTAAGGAGTACCACAGTCTAGGTTCTGCCAAAACAAACTTTATTGCACAAAAAAAAAAAAAAAATCTTATGTACAATAGTATATAAACAAGGTATCTTAGAGTGACTCTTGTGCATATATTTTCAACTCAGTTAGGTCTAAAAATCTGTTGCTAAAACATCTCTGCCTAGAGCAGTCATTTGAGGATTGTCACTTTGAAATGGAAACATTCAGAAATGGTAGGACAGACAACATTAGAGCTATAAAACTAATACTTCTCTTGTACAGCCACATGCTAGTTATGTGAATAGTGTCCACAATAAGGCATTTTCTTGTTTCGTTGTATCGGTGGATGGTAACGCCACATGCATCACAAACAGATTTCAGAACCAGCTCTGCCTTGGGAAGGCAGCAGAGTCACAGCTCTACCCACAATGCTACTGAATGGTGAAAAACAACGTGACATTTACAACGGGATTAAAGAGGCGGGAAAGTAGCACGCGGCTCATGACTTCTCGGGAGACCCCTCTGCCCCCCTGAGACCTCATTTCAAGGTGAACACCGCTTTATTTACTCTTATCTGGTGTACGTGTTGAGCGAGTCCTATGTAAGTTCAGCTTTCCCTCGAGGGAAGACAGGGTTTAAGCCTAAATCAAGCCAATGACAGACCCAGGGGAGTTTGCTTGCCAAAGGGAAAAAGGGTTCCCAAGTTGTTAAATGGCACCTTAACAATTCAGAAACGTTTCCACCTTTCAGCTTTTCAGAGCTGCTTAAGCGGCAGCGTGCAGGCTTCCGAGTTCTGCGAGAGTTGATATAAATCAGAGAGACTGAAAATAATTCAGTGACGCATGGGGCATTGCCTGTCTGTACAGCGCACGGCAGGGGTCTTTTGGCCCCTCTATGCTGCGCTTTTTTTAGAACAAAGATGACTGCGTTGGAAGTTCTCCCACCACCACCAGGAGTCTGAAACAGGGCCGAGCTGGTGGGAAGGTGGTTAAGGAAACTGGGAGAGGGCCCAGGACAATGTGCAACTTTGTGCTTAGCTTTCTATCAAAGCTCCCGTAAAAAAATTAAAAAAAAAAAAAAAAAGTAGATTAAGCTCTTTATCAACAAAACATGATACTGCTCCAATCAATCATCACCAGGCTTATTTACCTGGAGAAACTGGCTATTTCACCTCCACCCAAGCTACAGTGAATACATTTTTGATGTAATGGCGCTCGCCGCCAGCAGACACCTCTCCAAGAGGCTGGCCTTCGCTCACAGTAAAAAGCTGCTGTTAAAAACATCCAAAGCACTGAAGCGTTAAACTTTACGACACTCGGCTAGCTTGCGCTCGGCCAAGTTTGGCAAAGGAATTTGTCAGTAACGAGGCGTACACCTCTGACGAACTCCACCCAGAAACAGTGGCTTCCTTAGCTAGAATTGCCCCTTATTCTAGCGTTTCACTCTGATGGATCAAGGTAGCAGCGGGGAGTGAGGCGGCAGGAGGAAGAAGGGAGGAAAATAAAATATTACACTGAGTAGAGAGGTGGAAAGCAAAGAGTACTTCAGTTAAGGAAACAAAACAGCTCCGTTCAGAGCAGCCAGAATAAAATATTTCTAGAATGCTAAATTCAAATCAACACCTTAAAAAAATAATACACAAACTAGACTTATTTTTAAGTGCTGCCCCCATCTCTGACCAATGATTTTCTCACCCTCCCTTCCCCAAAACGCCAGGATGAACACACCTGCACTCCATTTACGGATTCTTGCAGTTTCCACTTTTCATCCGCCCCTTTGCGCCTGAAGTCTCAGTGGACGAAGTCACCCAGGGCTTGAGTAAAGCTTTCAGAAAGGAGCCCAGATTCCACCACTGCTCTTTATCTTTGGTCTGACTAGAACAGTGTCTAGAAGAAAGACATCAAGTAGATGGGCTCCACAGAGCAGAGAGGCTCCATCTCTCCCAACCCGCACAAAAAGATTTCGCCTGGGCGCATGGTGCGTGGGCCCTGTCATACCCTGGACTCAGCAAAGCGCTCCCACAGCTACAGCTCCACGTTCAGCGTGGCCCCAGGGAAGGGCTCACTGTCTAGGAACAGAAAAGCTGTAAAGAGGATTCGCAGTCTAGATCTCATTCTTTAATCAAATGGAGAAAAAGAAAAAAAAAAACCCAACCAGTGTAGGTGTTTCCAAAAAATAACCTGATGTCACATGCTCCAGCTTTCTAGCATAGTAAGTACCTTTTAAGAGTAGCCTGTCACAAGCTTGGCTTTGTCTAGCATGAAGTCTTCTCGTTCAGCGTTATCCACCAGAGCAGTAAAAGGAGACAGAAGATATCCCGCAGTTTGCTCTGCTCTGGCATTGGTTTGGTTGTCGAGTCTGTCAGGGGTACTCTAGAGTGTGAAGACAGAACATCCCCACGGCTTGGCCTCTCCACTGTTAACGCAGCTCTAAGCTTTAGAGCAACCTTGAGTGTCTGTCTCTGTCTCGGAGGAGCTGCTCTCAGAGTCTATTTCTGTATTCTCCTGCTGGTGTTTCTCTTGCACCTTCTGCCGAATTCCTTGCAAACGCACTAATAGGGACTGATAGTCAAAGTGGCCTCGTTTTTCACCAAAAGGATCCTGGAAGAAAACCATAGATAAGCCTATTAATATAAACCATTATCCTTCTGGCAAGAGGCAGAAGGAAAAAAGCTGCATAGTAATTGCGCAACAAATGGTCAAAGACTTCAGGGTTAAATCCCACCTTATGACAGAGAGGCCCCTAAACTTTCCACTCTCGTGGCAGAGGTTGAGGACTGAAGAGGATTCCTGTTTGGAGTCTCTTTTGGGAAACCTTACAAACCCAAGCAAACTTCAGAAACAGATGAAAGGGCAGGCAGACATGGGTTGGATTGCTACTAGCAGCTTTGAGGAAGTGAACTATTTCAAAGATTTGGTCTCAGGCCCACTCCAAGGAGGCAGGGAAAACATTACAAATGAAAGCCCCTAAAATCCAAAGGCCAAAGACTTGACCACATTTTATATTAGTGCTACAGACCCTGTCCAATGAAAGCATCACTATTCTCATTTTAAATCAAGGCCCCCACCTGAGATGTAGCCAAGTCAGAGGCAGAAAGTCTTTGGGGATTATTTAACATTTGCTGCTTTTATCCCCGTCCCAGGTTGAAGACACATTGCCAGGGCTATATAAGGTGGCGGTGGAGTTTAGGCTGTCCTATCTGATGGGAATCTTTGGTACAAGCCAGCATGTGGCCCCAGGGTTAACAAGACAGCACATCTGGCAAGCACTCAACTGATACTGAGCCTGGAGTGACTTCATTTTAAATACAGGGTAATGAAGACAACAATGCCATCTCTCCAGCACGCTGCGTTCGTGCTTCCTGCACTACGATTTACAACTGAGCAGAAAACAGACCACAGCAGTCACTGCCTCTGGGAATTGAACACAACACAGTCCCAGGCCACAGTCCATAAACCCATGGAGAAAGCAACTGAGCCCTGGCTCCTTGAAGAAGAAATAAGAGCGGGCCACACCTGACAACCCTGTAATGTCACCAAACTTCACTACACAGCCTTCAGTTCAGTACTCTCTGCAGACACAGACCTTCCTCGTGGGAACTTCTCACTCCAAACACCAACTCTCCTGCTTTGGGAGTGCTTTCAACTCATGAATTACACAGCCAGTGAAGGCACTGACAGGAAAAAAGGGCTGAGACACAAGATCATTAAATCAGCCACCTCCATCTTTTCTTAGCAGTGGAATTTCTCAATGAGTCAGACAAGAGGTGGCTGATGAGGGAGGAAGACACATCTGTTCATACGCAAATAGCTTGGCAATCTATTCTTTAAAGTCTGCTTTCCTGCAGAAACAAGCTCCTGTATTCAACCTGTCTAGATGTGTCTGCCGGATTGTCACTCTTCCCCCACCCCTTCCACCTCCAGTAACTTTTGACTCAGTCAGCCACTTTCAATTTCATCTGATCGAACAAGGAGCATCAGGGAAAAGTTCCTATTTGCTGTACGAGCAAAGGAACCTCAGAAAAAGAGCAACTCTGCCAGTGACCCAACAGGAAAATACAAAAATGGAGTTCAGTTGCCACCAGCATTGAATAACCTGCATGTGCCCTCCCTGCTTAACACCAAATCCACATGAAAGCAAACTGTACCGGTTCCACTGCTGAAAGAAGTACCTGCTTGCCTGGAGAGTGGCTCAGGTCCAGCACTCTGAGAAGTCTCACAGCCTTGAACACCCTGTGTGCATACTCTGAACTTGGGGAAGGCAGCATTTTATCCACAGGAACGTCTCAGGTCTCAGTTTCATGGTTGATTCAAAGTTGGAATACACATTTCATAGAAAAGATCCAGATCCACGCCACATACCTCTAGGTGCTGCACATTGTAGTTTGTCACTAACCACACACCCTTATCTAAGGCAGTGTGTTATCAACAAGAAAATTGTCTGCCACCCACCTGCATTGTCTGTCCTTGGAGATAAAGTCTCTCTTTACACACCCCTTCATAGAAGTCGTAGTATTCCATGAAGGATTTCTCCATTACGCCCCTGCGCACAATGAGAGAGCAAACAGTCAACACAAAACGACAGTGTTACAACAGTCACATCACCCAGGGTCACCCCATCCCACTGAACTCCACAGTTCATGTAATCAGTGCGGACACCCACACTGGGTGTCCCAGACAACTAACGGGGTACAGCGAGGCAGGGCACGGAGCGAAACAAACTACAGCATCACTGCAGCTGAAGAGATTCTGCATGTGTTTTCACAACAGCTGTGCTCCCCTCCCTCTGAGATTTTTTTTTTTTCCCCATAAGACAAGGCACGTTTATACTCCGACACAAGTCGGAGGATGCAGCCATTGTGCGCATAACACAGCCTTTGTCAATGCACAGCTTCTGGGCTCCACGCAGATGCAGCCATCCACTTCAGGGGAAACAAAACGACTCTTCGCTGGTCCAGGAAGAGTTAAAGACTTGCTCTTCCCTGGAGCAGCTCTCAGGGTTTCAGGAAGGGCAGCCAGAGAAGTTTATTCTGTTTCCCCACACCCGCTTTCTTATGCGCCCTCCGTGACTCCTTTCCATACCGTAATGGCTCAGGACAGGGACACTTTCCTTCCAGCATGTCGCACACTGCTACCCGGATGGTCTCATGCCGAATGCACTCATTATAGTTCTTGCTGTCCCCGGGGTGCCTCTCCTGGAAATAGAATTTGGGCCAGTGAGTCCACGCGACTGCAATGGCTCCTCGTCTCTCCCTCCTGGGCCCAATGAATTTCACTGGTGCACGAACCCACTACGGCTTTGTCTGTTCTGTGTAGGCTGAGCTAATTTTTCTACTACAAGTGAAAAGCTGGCAAGATTTTACACGTCTCCAGAGCCTTGGACTCACACAGCTGTGGAGACAGGTCATCTGATAAAGTTAGCACAGAAACCTGCCTCTCTCTGAGATGATGGAGACTATGAAAACCTGAGCAGTTTGGCTCCTGCATGACAACACGTCCCAAGGAAGCCATTTCAGGAGTCACGTAGCAGAGAAATGCAGAGCCATCCCATCTCGACGACTTCTCGAACGCCTCTTGTTCTTCCGTTACCTTACACATACGTGAGCTAAGCAGCCTCCGGTTCAGAGCTAGCTTGCAACTCCCTCTCAAGCTCTGACTAGAGGCAGAGCAGGTTGAAAAAGAGCCAAGCGACATAACCTACTTTTGTCCCCGTTTACAGAATGGGATTTGCAACCAGGAGCAAGGTGTGGAGGAAGGAGACAAATAACTGCAGAACCAGAGATGATCCACCTCAAATTCTCACCTGCTCAAAGCCGGGTTCGTTGTGATAAGGGTTCTCAGTCATCAGAGACTGAATGGAGATGAGGACTGAAGAGATACTCTGTGCTGGGCTCCAGGCAGGCCCGGTCCAGGTACTGAGGCATTAAAACAGAAAAGCATCAATTAACAACACAGGACCGGCCCAGCGAGCGCCATCCCTCCAACTACCAAAGATCAGAAAGCTTGGGAAACCACATCTATACCTTACAGAAATGAGACAGGAAAAGAAACAGCTGCTACAGATATAGAAAGCACTGGACACTGAGAAAGTTTTCAGGGTCAAAGTAGTTTATTCTCTCAACCAAATGAGTAGTTCAGCTCGAGCAAGACAAGAGAGGCTGGTAAACTTCACTCCACTGCTAACACAGCCAGAGCATCACACATGAGTTGAGGAAAAGTAACATTTCCAAGCATTTTACAGGGCACTTGAAAGCTATGGCTATCATCGCGCACAGCAGCCTGGAGCAACGCAAGCTACCAGCACTACTGTAAGTCAAAACCAACAACTCTTAAGAACTGAAATCTGATTTTCAAGACTCAAACAAGACCATCACTTGTGCAGTCTGTAATGCAGACACTCGGCACAAGGACTGCCATCAAAAGCATTAACCGATGCTCTGCTATAAGAATAAGGTGCTCGTTTCATACACACAAGGTAGCAAAAACCTCTTCATAGAACAGCATAAGCAGAAAAAGCTGTTCTGCTGCTTGCCTTTAATATCCTAGTTCCAGATACAGACCTGTCTCCCTGTGAGCTGAACAAGGATGTGCTGACCCACATATGCTCCTCCTAAATCCTTTCATTTGCAGCTCCCTCTGCGCTTCCCATTTCTGCTAAGGCCGAGGCTCTTTGTTCGCTCTTCAATAATTTAGCTTCCACGCCAGGGCTACAATTGCATGACCAACAAGGCAGCTTGGGTGGGAGCTGCTGGGCATTCAGGCCCCGGAGACACGGACGTGCCCTACACATCTCAGTGCTTTGCAGGTGTTGGCATCCAGCTCACTGGATCAGGAAGACTCCTATGCTGAGGAAGGTGATTCCCAGCACAATGCATCTCTCTGTCAGCCCTGAGGCCAGTATCTACCAGCTGCTGGGTATCAGCTACTTGGACCAACCTTGGCGTAAGCAGCACATGCACAGCACTGCGGAAACCATCCCAGCAAAGGCGGTCTTATAACCACATCAGCTCAGACTCCTGTTGGTTGATCAAATCCCTACAGCAATTCAAGCCGTCACTGCCCCTTCCTCACCTGGCTGCCGTTACTACCTCTCTGCAGCAAGAGGAACTACGTACAAACACCCCAGCTGCACCAGTCCAGAGTCTCAGCAAAACCTTTTCTTTACCGGCAGCTGAAACAGCCACAGCTGGAGCTGGGAATATCACACCAGGGCCAGGGTTCCTCTGGCGGAGCCGTAAGAGCTGTTCAATCAGCCCGGACTTTCACGTGTTTAAAAATCAAGCAGGTGAATCACATGCATTTGCAGCAGTGGAGCCTGTTCGAACAGGCAGCATGGGAGCAGCGCTTGTAAATCATTACACCCACCGCTCAGCCCCACATACTATGTGTAGGTGGAAGCCCAGAGCAGTCAAATGGCTCTCAAGGAAGTTCTCAGTGGCTTTTAATTTTATTTATTTATTTTTAAACCCACACAGAGAGAGGAAATTAAAACCACAAAAACCTACATTCAAACATTAAGGATCAGGCTGCAAAGCACAAAAGCAGAAGAAAGGCAGTGCTCGGGCCGAGGCTTTGCAAGGGGAAGCAGGAGAAAAGCTGCAGCGTCCACTGAACTTCATGCTTCCCCTTCTCCGTTCTCAGGTGCTTTTAAAGACAAGTTAGACTCTCATTTCAGTAGAGGAATTTGTGCTGCTTTACGACTCTGATTCTGTACACGACTTCACAGAAGCATAAAGGTGCATCCAAGCATGTCTGGGGCAAGATCAGGGCACAATGCGCCGAGAAGGATGCGTGAGGCAGAATACAGCCTGCAGCCACCTCCTGATTTCCCATCAAAACAGCCAAAGTCTCCTCTTACCCTAGAATACTCAGGCAGACTTTCCCATTGCGGTAGAAGTTGGGGTTAAACCTCACTGTGTTATTTCCCGTTGTCATCAGTTTGACCCTTGGTGGGTGGATGGGATAATCTGGAGGACAGCGAAACAGGAACAAGAAGAAACCCCCTTCATAAGGCGTGTCAAATGGGCCTGTGATCAATGCATGAATCTGGAAAACAAAAGCCCGTCTTGCGCACCACTTCAAAATTGTGCAGCACCGTCAAATCCTCAACAAAGCCAACCGAAGGCAAGAAATCTCCACCCAGGCAGCAGCACGGAGGCAGCGTCTTCCACAAGCACACGCCATGTGCAGGCCATACTTAACCCCCCCTCCTTCCCTCGTTAGCCAGAGCCACTGCTGCGCACTTCTCTCCCCTCTGCCACACTCAATGTGCAAAGCAGGTTTCCAACGCGAGGCTTGGCCAGAGTCCACAACAGCTGCCTCCCATACATCTCTATACAGTCCAAACCAGACTGAATCACGGTTCAGCTGGTAAGCTCTGCTTAAAAAAAAAAAAAAAAAAAAAGGAAGATTTCGAATATGAAAAAAAATCTAATTTTAGAAAGAAAAAAATTCAGAATTTCTGCCAAAACTAGAGCATTCCTCAATTTTATGGTCTCGTGCTGATTTGGTCTTATTAAAACCAATCACTCAATTTCCTCTGCCAGGATCCAAAATTAAGACCCTATTCTCTCCATGCTAATTACCCTCAAAGATCCCAATTGTATACCAGGAAATCTACTTCCCTTGGGCTATTAAGGAAGCTGACTCCCCCAAGTGATCCAAGCAGCCTCCTTTAACGATCCTCTTACCTCCCAGGATTTCAATTAAAAGCCCCAAGGCTGGTGTTCTACAAACCTGCATTTCCATTGAAGGGCATTTTGGCACTCTGAGCTACCAAGGCTGAGGGAAGCCAGAGCTGTGGCTAAATGCCCCAGGTGGGAGCTGGTCGTGCAGAGACACTCCCTTTGCGCAGAGACACTCCCTTTGCGCTGCCTCCAAAAACCCAGGGGCCCCAAGTCAGGCAGGCACTTACATGGGGGGAATTTAGGGGGATCTGGGGGATGCCACGTTTGTCAGGGGGGTGGGAGAAGTGTGCAGCAGAGGAAAAACCAAAGCAACCTCACACACACGCACACACAACCCTCAGAAACCGGCACAGCCAGACCAGGCAGCACTGGCTGGAGAAAGGGCAGCGCCAGCCAAGAAACACCGTGGATCAAGAACACCGTTTGAGCAACCTCTGCCTCCCAGCTCCTTGCATTCTCTCTGACATAATCAGAAATTCCCAGTCCTGGAAAACCCTGAGAGCCAGGAGGGGAAGAACCAGGGCAGGAGAGGCCGTAGCCATGCCCATGTCCCTAGAGAGTAGGTCTGCTGGCGGCAACGTGGTGGGAGCAGCTGCGTGGGCCAGACCTGCAGGCGACCCTGGTACCTGTGAGAACCCTGCGTGCAGCACCACAGGAGGACAGGGCCCGGGTGCAGGGACACATCTCTCTACCAGCTCACAACAATTAAACACCTCCAAGTTCCACAGGAGGAACAGAGATACTCCAGCACTGCTTGTGGCTAATGGATGTTTCTCATTTCCAGCCTCTCTGAGAAGGCCCCCGTGGCCAACAGCTTTCCATGGAGCTCTCTCTTCTGTGAGCTGCTCTATTGATTTTTTTCAAGCATCAGTAGGATGAAATGAGCTGGATCAGCACCCCACTGGTTCACAGGGCCGCTAAAGCAGAGCTGGCTTTATCTGTGGAAGCTCCTCAGATCCCTGTGATGGTTTCTCTCCAAAGAGCCAGTTTCCTTGAGAGCCTCCTCCCATTTTAAACGCAGCCCATCTCAATGTCACCAAGACAACTGGAGCCTTGTTATGCTCTTGCAAGACTCACCCTGACTTCTCCCAGACATTAAGGGAATACTCCACTTGGGCAAACCCTTAAAGCAGCCACCGACAGCAACATACAGAGAAACGGAAAGTTGAACCAGCTCCAAATCTTCTCTTACCTTGGTCATGTCGTGGGGATCAGGCACAACAAACATTCCTGGGGGTGGTTCCTTGTAAATGGACATGATATCCCTGAACAAAGGAAAGAGGAATTAGTCGAGATGTCCCTTGGCGTTCATCAGCCCTCAAGGCACGGAACGTTCTAGGTGACAAATCTGTGCAAGGATGCAAAGGGACAGACTTTCAAGATGGAAACTTGCAATTTGTGGCGAGTTAGACATTTTTCTTTTGTCTCTGACTGTTTTCTGGCTGAGCTCTTTCAACCTATCCCCAAAAACAGTTGAGGCATTTCAAGAGCACAAGCAGCATTCAATGAATCAACGTGTGAGGCATCAGACCAAGCGCACCTTGATTACCTGCTGCCTCATATTTTACCACAGATCGGCTCCAGTGCATAAAACTTCAACATAAACTTCCCCTAAGGTAGTCGTTTAGAAGTTCTCTTAGGTGAATTTTGTTGTTTAAAGGATGAGTTTCCCGCCCCACGTTTACCTTCTCCACACTCAGACTATTTACAGGATCCCTTTCGTATACCCAGTCATTTGTTTTCCCCAAACACGCCGTGACTCAACCACCTTTGAGATTGTTCCTGCTCTGACAAATTTGGGTTTAATCAGGTTCAAGAGTAGTTCGGACGCACACACACAGAGGACTTGATCACAATGGCCTTGCTTCCTTAGGAATGTGGACATAATGAACTGAAAAGTAACAAATCACCTACAGCTGCGTGCAGTTTACAGATAAACCGAATGGCACCCATTACCTTTCATCCCCAAAAAACCTCCCTCCCATAATCAGAGCTGTGCCGAGCTCCAGGACAAGCTCCCGCTCAACCTTCCCATTTGGGAAGCAAGCAGAGTTCAGAGAGGTTTCAGGGCGAGAACAAGTGCAACAGGAGAGCCTCGCCTTCCCGCCTACCGTTACAAAGTCAGTGCTTTTGGCGTTTGGATTGGAAAGTGCCCAAATATCTGGTGCCATCTTTGGAAGGCATTATACAAGCTCTAGAACAAGGATGAGCAAGAGCCTGGCAGGCAGCGATACTTGCTCCGAAGGAAGAGGAAGAACTTGTTGAAACGGTGCCAGCATGTCAAACAATACAAGACCGTATTGCTCATTATATCAAAGGTTATCGGCGCATCAGGTTTAACCAGACGATCCTTTAAAGAGTCAAAGCAGCCGAACGGGTGGGCACCAGCAGGAAGGAAGATCGCTACAGGCAGGTTTCGGATAAACATCTTAACTCGACCATGGATGGGGACCGAGAAGCCTGCTCCCCTCCCCATTTAACAGCATCTCCGAGGAGCTGCTGGTGATCCCGAGGGCAGGACGAGAGCCACGCACCCAGGGGCTCTGCTGCCAAAGGCCCCAGCAACAGCAGACGGAGAACGAGAGCCCGGATGGCGGTGCGGGGGTCCACGGCTCCAGGGCAGGCGAGGGGTGAGACCCATCCCCGCCGGAGCACCTGGGCGAGGGGAGCCCCGGGGCACGGTGGGGAGCGGGGCCTGGCCCCGGGGAAGCCCCGGGACACAGGGAGGGAGCAGGGCCTGGCCCCAGGCCCCAACCCAGCTCTCCGGGACGGCTAGTGAGGGGATGGCGAGGCCCAGGGGACAGTCACCGCCTCGAGGGTACCGGGGACGAGCCAACCGCCCCCGCCGCGGGACGAGGCCCCGGCCC